TTGGACATTGAGCCATTGACCACAATTCTTTAAGTGTGATCATCCAGCCTGTTCCTTATCCACCGTGTGGTCCATCCATCGAATCCATGTCTCTCCAATTTAGAGACAAGAATGTTGTCCGGCACAGTGTCAAATGCTTTGCACAAGGCCAGGTAGAGGATGTTTGTCACTCTTCCTTTATCCACCAACGCTTTAACCCCATCGTAGAAGGCCACCAAATTTGTTAGGCACTATTTGGCCTTACTCAAGCCGTGTTGGCTGTCACCAATCACTTCCTCATTTTCCATATGCCTGAGCATAGTTTCCAGGAGGATCTGCTCCATGATCTTGCCAGGCACAGATGCCTCCTGCCCCTGTCTCCCCAAAGGTCACAGAACTGACATTCACATGCTCTGCCACAGCTGTCAGGAGAAAGAAGACAAAGCACAGGTTGCACTGCAGTAATTTACCTAACCAAATTAAAACAATGTCAAAGTGTTTGTGAAGTGATCTCTGACCTAGCCAAGTAGTCAAGAAAAAGCTAAGTAGTAAATAAGCGATTGCTCTAACAACTCAGTCCTGCTTGGGCCACATCCGCGTCACCCTGCAGGGTACAGCAGGCTTTCTCCATTTGCTGGAGCACATCTGGCAAGCGCTGTCCAGAGACTCAAGCTACAGAGGAGAAAGGGAACATGATGGGCTCAAACAGCAGTGCTGTGAGGCACTGTTACAGACAGTATTTTGTGTGATATTTCAGTAGAGAGAGATATTTCCATCAGATGACACATTTTGTAGCATTTTTTCCACTAAATCAAAAGCTCAATTGTCCAACCTAAAAGTTTTGCCAGGAAAAAAATTACTATTCCAAAGCAGTTTTGTGGGGGCTCAATAATGAAAATGATGCTGCAGCTGCCACACGATGTAATGGGAAGGGCTAAAGCGCAAAATGAACCTAGAGTCACGATCTAACACCACTGGTCTTCTATGAGCATCTAGAAATTAGCTACAGGCTGGAACCCTTACCAAACACAGCAAATTTTCTAGAAGTCTCCTTTTCAACAGTATCTCTACAAAGTGCTCTTTCCACAGCTTTATTCAAGGTGTCTAATTCACGTCTCCTTTGTATGGAATACAGCCTAGCAGATTTAACCTATGAATTTAACTTATTTGTAGCCTATCAAAAGTCAAGTGAAATGCACTATTTTTTATAGGTATTTCCTCCAAGTTTGGTGGTGCAAACTTGTGTTTTCTATAGAATACTGAAAGAATGTATGATTCTAATGAATACAGGATTGCGTTCATGACATCATCCAGACAAGACAAGGTTACCACTCTGTAAAACCTCCCTCTTCCTCTTATCAGCTGTAAGTGGGAAAAAGCTGGGAAGTGGTCCTTGACCTGCAGTGAACCAGCACATAACAGAGGGGCCGCTCTCAGAAATGTTCGGGACAAGTGCTGTCTGCAGTGATGTGTGACTGGATTCTGTGACTGACAGTCCCTTGCAGTCCTATTTCTACAGGAAAGTAGGGGAAGAGAGCACAGGACAACAGACTAAGGCATCGTTTCCAACCTGTGAGCATGGTAATTACTTTGTGGGCCATAAACATTTTACATGATTCTGAAGCTACATTAAGGATTTCGGATGACCAAAAAACCTTCTGTCAGAGCGCAAAGAATTAACATTTGTATTTGGTATGAAGTGATTACACCAGGATTAGAGCAAGGAAGTTTTTATTTAACAAATAGAATGCTATCATCGCTTAATTCACTTCTGGAACACTTAATTAACTTAAACACTTAAACAGAAAAGAACGTTTTGGAGTCCCACTTGTTGAGCCAATGCTATGAAATCACTATCCACCTTTATTCAGCAAAGTTAGGGGTTTTTTTCCTTTTCTCTTTTATTGTCTATTATTATAATGAGATTTTAATGTAAATACTTTTTTCATTAAAAGATTCTACCATTTACTGACACCTCATGGTTCAGTTTTTCTCAATGATTTGCCAAACACTGTTTTTGTAAATACAGCTTTGTATAAAGCATTGTGTGTGTTTATAGCTCCATATACAAAAGGAACAGTCTAAATACACACCTCCACTTTCTCTCTCAAGACCATACCTTATCAACCATGAGGAAGTTTTCTATTTTTTCTCCATCATCACAAGCAACATCTCCAACTTCTCTAACAGCTTGAGGTAAAAGCTCCTTCACTTCCTGGGCTATTATTCCTGTTCGCAAGATAACAGAAACTAAAGTCAGGAAACACAGTGACATACCATTGACCATCCTAAAAGCTTTGAGTCGCCCATCCTAAGAGCTACAGAGAGGGACAAACATGATCCAGAACTTCTGTGTGGTAGGAAAATCCAGGATTTCACTTTGGTTTTTCTTCCTCCATTCCACAGAAAACAAACATAAACCTTTAGAATTCCCATTTCTCTGCAATAAGAACAAAATTGCTTGTGATCATGTACTTCATTCTCATTAAACCTCTGGAAAAATAACCTATCTTTAAAAATTGAAACAGAAGTTGGAAAATTACCAGAAATACTTCATTCTGGCATTTTTTTATCACAAGAGAAACACAGCAAAGTGTGTAATTGCAGTATCCTAAGAAATGAGGATGAAATACAGGGTGTTAAAAGGCACTATGGCACAATGAACAATAGTGGAAATTAATGAAAAATGGGAACAAAGCTGACTGAATACCTGTTTCATGGGTGTTTTTTATTCCCATAACAGATGCAAATTCAGGCTTGTAGTCATACTCCACCAGCCTCATTTGTGTTATTCTTCTCAACTGCTCATTCGTATCAACCTAGTTGGACAAATACCAAGGTTCATATGTTGAAACATTAAAAATGGTCATGGTATCTAGGACATCACTGAGATAGCGACAAGCCTGACATGGCCACTTGGCCAATCTTCACATCAAAAAATACAGACAATCTTCCCATTCCCTGTTAGCAGAGTGCTATTTGTATTTCTATTGCCAGCTACTCTGCAGTCTGACAACTCCCATTTACACAGATATCCCCAGCTTCTATGGTCAAGCTCTTCTAAGGTCCATAGGCGATGGCTCCCAGAGCACAGTGGTACACCAGATTTCTTTAGGCCAGCATTTCAGCACATCTAGGATAAAGAAGCTGCTTCACATGTCAGAACAATGATCCACACATGTGCTGTGGTGCAAACATAAATGCCCTAAATACTCCAGAGCCCTCACCTCCCGGATATTCTGTTTTGCTCGGCTGTCAGATGGGTGCATGACTCTGCCCATAACTTTTGCATTTCCGCAGACAACCAGTGCTTCGTCTGGTGCATCTGTGTTAATTCCTACTCGACCATGATAGACTATCGTCTCTGGAACATGTCCTCGCTGCCACGGTACATCACTGTCATTTTCAAACTGCCCTGGGTTAGATGCCTGGAAGAAAAAAAATTATGTTTAAAGATATAGTATAGCATAGATGTACTATTCCTTATTCCATTAGGAATTCAGGGAAAATGAAATGTCAAAGCTTTAATATTTAAATTGTATTCAAGAGCTTTTCTAACTCACTAACAGAAAAAACCCAGAGTGGAGTCACTTCTAAGTAAGTGTTTCTCCTCGTACAGCATTGGCCTCATTGCTTTTTCCCTTGAATTCTATTTTATTATCACCGTAAGCTAAACTATCAATGTCCAAAGCTTTCCAAATTTTAACTTTGACATTATGCCACATAACCATTTATTTACCAGCAAATTTTAGCTGGGGCTGGAAATCAGAAAAGAGCAAACAAGGCAGAGATTAAATACATGGGATTCAAAAATTATTTTTTTTAACATGCTTTGGCCATTCCAGTTTTTTTTCTTATACATGCTGCTTCACAAACTTTTCCAGCATGTATTCAAAGCCTGTGCTGAACAGATCAGAGGTGATCTTGGCTTGCATTCACAGGTCCTGTTCTCAAGTAGATGCTCCAAACTATAAATGGCATGTATTGCAGGTTTCTAGAAGTAACTATTTAAAACAAGTAAGTGGAAAAAAGAAGCCCAACTGCATTACCTAATTGGTAAATTACTAATTTAACTGTAAACCATTTGTGGAAAGGACTCATTTTGTTCTCTGTTTACACAATACCTAGTACAGTGGAGCCTTGGTCCACAACAAAAATATTAAAACAAGGAACAGGAGAGGAAGCAGGAATAGGTAGTGAAACTGCCTCCCCCACACACTCCCTTTTTCACAATCATGAAAAAACGTCTGCTGGGGAGCCATGACCGTGGAGGAGGTTAGTTTTTGTAGGGCTGAAGTTTACTGTTCAGGCCCATTCTATTTCCTGCAATCATTTTGCAGCAATATCAGAGAGACAACCGCCTCAGCACAACTAAAGGAATAGAGAACTGTGACACTGGGGGAGGAAAGGCATCCAAACTATGCCCCGGGGCCATAGCTTGATGTACACTTCTTCTGGCAGCAGAACCAGTGGAGGCAGCCCGCATCACCCTGTCACCCATCTCCACCTGCCAGCCCTCAGTTCTGCTGATACACCAACATAGATGACAATGGAGGAACCAGTCTGACTTAAAATTAACCAAGTACAAAAATTAGACTTATTTTTAACACAATTCCCCATTCCTGTTCATTGCAGGGCCCTGGAAAAACAGTTCCATCAGCATGGCCAAGGAGGAGTGTGGCAACAGGAGCAAGAAGGCTGATAGGAGCAGAAATGAGTCAAGCATTGTTCATTCGGTGCTGCCCCAAATGAAATGTCCAATGAACTATGGCCCAGGAAATACTATTAAGTCACTAAATCAAAAGTCTTTTGACATTCTGAGGAGCTTAAGTCTTACTAATATGCCTCAAAAATAAAACGCAATCATTCGGTTTTTTTCATTTATTTGTGGTTTTGAATGGGTAGAAAACACTACTCAATGAAATGGGCAGGAACAAATTCACTTTCTAATAGTAATTTCCGCAAGTCACAGCTACCAAATTAATTTTGCTTTTACTCAGCAACTGAGATACTGAAGTATAAATTACATTCAAAACCTGTTTGCTAGGTTCCAGAGACCTATGAAGTCTAAAAATAGCAGTTCCTGAAGAGGTGACCATCTGGAAAAACAAACAATTGCTTCTATCTAGTTAACAAAATGTCATTTTCACTAAGCAATAGCAAAATGAACATATTCATAAATTGTCTCAAATCCTCTGTAATGTTTAAAATTAACTCCTATTAGAAATTTCATGTCAAGGGAACAGGGTCTTTCTTAGAACACCAAAAAAACCAACAGAGCATATAGAATTAGAAAAAACATTTTGTTTCAATAATTAATTTTGGTTTTTATTTTTTTAAAACTTTGAATTCAGGCTTTAAAATTTGAGTCTGAACAAAAGTATGATCACGATAAAAAGTTTGCACTCATTTAAAGAAGCCAGGTTTTCACAAGTCTTTGCCATCTACACTGCACGGTGCTGTGCACTTACCACTGTTTGTCACAATTAGAGCATGATCTGATATGCCTGATAACCACTACTCAGCTGGTAGTTTTGTTACACTATGTTTGAGTGTATAAATGGCCAGACCATGAGTTGCTTTCTCTCACAGTGCATGTGCACAGCTTTGCCACTTTAAGGTAACCAGTGGCTGGCTCACTGTACTCTGCCACTCAAGCCCTGGCAGACATCTGGAAAATGACTTTTTTTTTTTTTCTTTCCAGCTTTCCTGTTGACATTTGCACCACTTCAAATCACAGCCTCTTGATTCTTCTGCTTTTCTCCCTTTTTTTTTTCTTTGTCTGCAATAGTGGTCAGGTTTGCAAAATCTCATTCCCTGGATTCCTATTAAAAAATTGTCTCACACACATCGAAGGAGCACTCTTCACTGAAATTTCAAAAGAACCTAACATTAAAAATGGTACGAAAATTTAAATGTCTAAATCTTACTTAAAAATATGTATCTTATACAGTAACAATAATCCTAAGGATGAGTCAAATGTGAAAATTCAGTGGCTTTACCAAATCAGTAAAGAGATTATATTTGCAACACTGCTAGACGCAGAAAAATAAATTCAGATGAAAGCAGTATTGTGGAACTTAATGGACAAAGAAGGAAAACAATTAAATATGTGGGAATGATACAAACACAATGCTTCAGTGTCTTGAAATAAAAGAACTGACAGCAATGGCCAGGATGATAAAACTTCTCAGCAGGGCAGAAAACTACTAAGTCCGAACACCGCTTTCAAAGCCCTTTCACAGCTCCACCCAGAAAAGAGCTCTGGGCCATACTGCCCTCCAAAAACCTAAGTGTAGCTGCAGGAACAGGGTTTATGGCACAAGAGGACACAAAGTTATGGCCCAGACAAAAAAGGAGCCAGGACTGAAACCATCTGAAAGCCCTCATCTTCCTTAGGCAGCCCCTGTGCAAGACCATGCATATTGGGGATTTGCACTTTTGCTCTTTCCAAATCCTCATGCTACACCAGGCTGTAACCATAAGCTTAGGCAGATGATGTGCTGCCAAAAAAGACCCAAGCAATGGCCTACAAAAAATGACGCCACAACTAAAAGCTTTTGACAAGCCCTCACCTTTCTTTGGAAGCCCCTTTCCAGCCCCACTTATTAGACCAGAGCTCTTGGTCTTACCTGACAATAAACCAAAATGCTAAGCCTATTCCTTACCATAAACCAAGGACTAGAAAGACTCCATGCAAAAAAGATGCTCCTTGATTGGCCCACATGAAAAAGTTTGCCGGACTGCAATCTTCCAGAGGCCCTCACCATCCTTTGCAGCCCCACCACACAGCACCTATGTATTTCCTGCCTTTCTAAGCCCTAAATATAACCTTTGCCCTAGAAATAACCATAACCCTAGACTACGCCCAGTTCAAACATTAAGCACCAGCTACTGGTCATATGAAAGAAGGACCAGGACTGAAAGCTTTTGGTAGGCCCCTCGCAACCCCACTCATGCTGGGGCTCTGTGCTTTCTCTCTTTCCTAACCCTAACCCTCCGTAGCTCCTGTTACAATAGAGCTCTACAGTTTTTCCCTCTTCTAAGTCTAACTCTAACTGTAGGCTAACGCTGAGTAGTAAAAGGAAAACTTTTAAGTGGATCATGGGATTGAATAGTAATGGTCATGAGGAAGAAAGACCAATTCTTCCTTTTTCTATTTTGAAACCTATATTACAACCACCAAATTAAGAGCTGGGACACTCTGGAAACACAGTGGAAAGGGGCAGGTACGTGTCTTAATCTTCCTAGAGCTGCTTGACTTTCTTTCCTTGTAATTTTTTTTTTTTTCATTCTTTTCCTCCTTTGAAAATAAAGCATCCAGCCAATGAAAGCATTTACCAAATTCCTGGCAAGTGTAGGAAATTGTTTCATCTCAAAGAAAAAAACAATCTGGAAAAAAACCCCATATTTTGTACTGGAATCCACAATAAGCTTTCCTTTTAAATTCTGCTATAGCTCTACTTTTAATGTTTTAAAATCCCAATAATTAAAAGATAACAACATACTCATACAATATGCAATCATAGTTTTTTTCCTCAATCTTTTTGATTCAATGGCAGTTTTTATGCTGAAGAATCACCCCCACAGTCTCCTGTGAATATTGAAACAGTTTTGTAAATACTTTTCACATGAAAGCAATATAAATTTCTACCTACCCTCACAATGATCTTTTCAGAGACATTTGCAGACAGTAGGTAGAATTGGTCCTGAGAGACAGCATACAGTCCAACTACCAGCATGAAGTATCTAATTCAAAATTGATTTAATCAAGATAACAAATTGAAGTAATGTGTTTTCACAGAAAATTTTTTTTTAATGCAACTGCTGTTACTGATACATAAAAAGATAGCCAGATGATCTTTTTAAATATATCTATGTTACAATATGAAAGAAAAAGTATTTCCTTTACTCTCAAATAATAAGCTCTTTCAAACACCACGATCACTGAAAATGAACAAAAATTACAGTAATTTTGAAAAATTTGAGTACTGAAGACTCAGAGATGAAGACCCTTCCTTCCCCAGAAAAAAAAATGATCATTATTTGGTTTTTTGACTGCCCAATTTCATCAGCCAACATTCTGGTTGTGATTTCCCAAAACAATCTCTAACCATAAGGATGAGACATTTTCTTTTATTCTCTCATCACACTGTGAGTCTAGAAGAGAGGCCTTTAAGCAGATACCAAGTATCACAGAATTTGAAATTCAAAAAATCACAGGATTTGGCAATGCTGAGATTTTTTCACAAGCATCAGCTCCATGCTAAAGTAGACCTCTTTTCCACTTCACACACAGAGGGCAACTAGCTACTGCAATACCTCTGGTCAGGATTAGGTTTCCCCTTTTTTCTCATATTATTTGCTGTTGTTTCACTGAAATGCAATCTTCCCAATGTTACTTTAGTTATCTGGTCCCCTGGTAGATCAACTCTAAAATAGAAAAGTAAACAAGATCAGGGAAATAAGCATTTGGAGATCTACCTGGCTCAAGCCAGATTTCCTCAAACTCATTAAAACAGTTTTGAGAAAAACTGAAAAATGAAAAAACAGAGAAACCCCAGTAAAAATGCAGTAACCCTGGTTTAAAAAAATGCATTAACAACACAGTGACTATGTCAAAGAGATAAACAAACGGGATAAAGCACTAGCAGTGGGAAACTGTTCTTAGTAGTAACTGTTCTTGGTCTGTTTGTACACAGTCTTGAACATAATAAAACCATATGTGTTCCATATGATGGGTATTTGTTGCCTGCCAAGGGTAACATTGCTTATTATTGGACCTGAATTCATTAAAATAAATAAATTCTACTGCTTGTCCCCTTTTTTCACCTGACTTTTATGTCTGGAAGTATAAAATATAGATCTATGTCTTAAATACTTAGTGGCACTGCTCCTGTAAGCGATAAATAGTATGAATAAAGAGTTTGCATGGAGAAAACAACAGTCTACCAACCACATTCTCATCTGGTATAAATGAAAACATCATCACCCATGAAACAATTTACACACAGAATCTGTTCTTCAGTATGCAAAAAGAAGAAAAATGCCATGATGGCGGTAATTAAGTAAAAATGGAGCTCTTCTCCCGAGCTCAAAGTTCATTTTTGCAGATTATGTATTGCAGCCTTTATCCCAGCACCGTCCTGTCAAAATTGACACTGCCTTATCTTTTTCTGTTTTAAGGTTTATTTAATAGTTTACAGGTAACAGAACAGCTCCAACAGAAGAACAAACATTGATTCTGCCAGTGAGTTCAGATGCAGAAGAATGGCAGAGAGTTCCAGGGAGAAGCTGCATGTATGTTTCTAGCAGAGGCACTCCCCCTTAAAAGCACTGAAAATACATCTCATGCCCCTGTAGAACAGGACCATTACTGACATTTCTTAAGATGAGAAATGCATCTGCCATACAGCTCTGAACACCATACAACAGTGTTGCTAGCTGAATATAAATATTTTGGATAGATATACTTAACACATTTGTAAAGCAGCTGAAAATTATCCTTAATGAAGGGAGACCAGGTATATATTACGACTTTGTTTCTATGTGTGCACCAAAATGGAATTCAGATAAAGATCACAAAACTGGCTTAAAGCTACTATAAGTTTCCAAGAAACAACTATTTTACATTTCAGACCAATCACACATTGAAATAAAGTGGAATAAATTTCTCTTACTTAACAGGATGGAAAGTTTTTTTGCTTCGATCTGACTGAGACTGTTCAATAGCAATTGTCTGGTTTGGAGCTTCCACCTATAAAGAAAAAAGAATTTTCAAAAATGACAATAATATTAAATTCTCAAACATGTAAAATCTGAAATAGAAATTAACAGGCAAATTGTGTCTGAAACAGTGAAATCTCATTTCTCACAGAACTACATAGAAATTAACACTGGAATTGACTCCTGATCAATTAACACCTGACAACTAGTCTGAAGCCCCAAATCTTTCTGTGGACATAATTTGAAAGAAGAAAAAAATCCATTAATATACAAAAGAAAAATTGCTTTCTGAATCTAGACTGCTATTGGTTCATTTTATCCCAAAGCATAAATGTAGATATTTAACATGAGAACTGAACCTATGCAAGGTAGTTCCTTATTTTAATGTAAATTTCTGTACCTTTCAGCAGCACTTTGCTTCAGATGGGAGCAGATGACAGTAATATTCACTAATTTCTTCTACGTTAGAATTCATTAAGCAAAACTGGTAGTAACTGCCTTGTAAAACAGCTATGTGAATTTTCTAAATCACTGAATTTTGGTAGTAAGTAAAAAACATGGTATAATCTTTCAGAAAGATTAAAATTTCTTACTATTTCTGTATAGGCAAGCTTGTGGACCCATACTGGCTGGGAAGAATTTGGTTCTTAAAGTGAAAACGGAAAGTCTAGCAAGAAGAAATGGGGAAATTTTGTTGTTTTTCTACACACGTACTATTCAGGAAAAACAGATTTGATTCTTTTTCTTTGCTTTGTGAATTGCTTTTTCAACACATCTTTTTGACCAATGGGTAGACTGGCCACACCAGCTGACACCCCTGCATCGCCCACAAAGGCAACAAAATTTCAGCCAAAGAGAGGGAAGTCAGTGAAACCATGGCAAACAGGCAAACATGACACCTTTCAGCATATATCAGCACAAGCATCCATAAAACATCACTTTTTTTTGCAAAAGAGTTCCACACAAAAGTCACTAGTAACTTAAAAGAGTTCTCTTTTGTCAGTTCTTGGTCAAAAATTACTAAGAGTTCATTTCAGTTATTTACCTTATTCTGTGGATAATCACATACTAACTTATTAAAAGTAATAATCACAAAGAGGAGGAATACTTGCCTTTATTCCAAAAGCTTTCAAGTAAAACTTTTCTATTGGTTTTCCCCCCAGCTGAGTTTTGACATATTTTGGATGTCCAGTGATTCTAATATGGACTGTGATTTGGAAATGATTCTTCTTCTGGCACACAAAGGCATCATCTGTTGTTGAAAAATTAAACCCTTTATCTGTGACAATCTGATATCCTACAGTGGGTCTACAAAAACAAGAAGAAAGAATAGCAACTTTAAGTACGGGCATTTTTGAATGACATCTTGAATTCCTATTTTTCACGTGGTCTGAAAATCCATCTGATTTTTACTGACAAAATGGGAGCCAAAATATATCTTTACAATCACCAGTTCTACCAGTATTTTCTTCTTCGTCTCTTAGTGATGTAAAAATGAAAATGCATATGAAGCGCACTCTAATTCTAGTCTGACACATGAAATGTTTGGAAACCAGAGGTGGAGAAGTTTACATAATCCTCACTTACAAATCTGTTATAAAGGAACTCTGTGTACGTAAAAGCACAACCAAACCTTTTAGTGTATTCAAGCATTCATTGCTATAAACAACAGAGCTGAAGGAGCGCTGCAGACAACAACGTGCTAATGAGCCAGACAGACCTTCTATTTTGTTCCCAAATTCCCACACCAAGTGCTTCTGCAGAAGCTGCTGGGATTCGAATAAGGGTTTACTCAAGCTAAAAGAAAAGCTATCGATACTGACCCTCTAACCAGAAGACGATAAAACTCTCCTTTATAATGTTGTCCATCTTACCCCAACTAAGGAAACCCTATTCTATTTATTTGAAGGGCTAATTTGTCACTCAAAGATAAAGAGTATTCTGTCCTTATGATTCAGAGCAAACAAGGAAAGGTCTTTCTAAAAGAGCCGGTGAACTCACCATCCCAACAATGTTTCCAGTCCTCTGATTTAAGTGATGGATAATTCTGAAATAACAGGACTACATGGCAAGGTTCTCTTATATGGGCATTGGCTTTTCTTGCTAATGAAAGTTTGATAATGATGATCTCATCTGATGCTACTGAGCAGCTCTTATTAACGCAATTACTGAGGATGGCTTTTCAGAACTCATCCATTTATTTGCACATTATTAGTTGGAAAAATCAAAATGTAAAGACTTCACAAGAAATGTACAGACTTTATTATCTTTTTATAAATTATGAACAAAAGGCCCCTTTCAAACAATCACCGATTATCTGGAACAGGGAATAAAGAGAAAACTACTTTATAACTACTTTATAACTACTTCAAAACTACTAAGTCATATGTTAATTCATATTTAAAATATAATTAAGTGTCTATCATCTCCTCAAACCACCACTATTAAGAGACAAAACTTTTTTCAGTTTCTTCCTACAACTAGTAATTCTTTTTATTTATGTAGGAAATGTGTGTAGGGGAAGGAGTTGTTTGTCAGATTTAGGTGTAAAGCAAATTTATTAGCTGATGTTTTTAAAGCAATTTCAGAATACTGGTTTACACATGCAAGCAGACTGAGAAGCAAAAGTGCAAATTTCCATTTCTCCAAGTTGAATTGTTTGGAACAATTTCAAAGAGGAATTTCACGTTTATCATTTTCTGAGTATGCCATTCACAGTAATTAAGAGCAAATGCATATTTTGATCTCATCACACAAAGGATGGTCAGTCTTACCAAGCAGCACAGTAAAATCTGAAGAATTTTTAGAGAGCAAGGGATATCCCTGTCACACAAGCATACCTACTAGAAATACACTTCAAATTTCTCTTTCTGTTCAGAATTTGACCCTTCAGACAACATCTTTGTAACTGAGTCCCACCAATCACAACAGTAATGGCACATGGGGCTAAAAAAGTGCCCAGCATATACAATGCAGGGCACGATTAATGGCAGAGTAACCTTTTCTAATGAATCTACCTCAGCTAACAGCATTTTGTTGTGAATGAAATAATCAAAAGGTTAAAATACTGGATTAATAAAATGGAAAATAATAATTAACCTGAGAAAAGTCCTTAAAGTGGGCACAGCAATTTCAAGGTATAGGACCAATTCATGTACACTGAGCAGTGATAAGCACATGACTCTCTTGAAACTAACAATACAGGATCACTACTCAGAAAATCTGTGCACTGTGCCATAATTACAGTGTACCTTGGAACAAAGGCACTGGCGTTGACCTCACTTGAAAGTAACAGACATCCTCCGCCAATAATCTCTCAATCCCCTTCCACAATAATGGTAATGGTACGTGCAGTTGGATGCTTTAATGCTCAGCATCACATTGTCTTTGTTGACACAAGCCACCAAGAAATGTGAGTCTGGAACTTCAATTTTAAGTGTATGGGAACCAACAAGGAATTGGGTAGCAGCAGGAGAGCAATCTGCCTCCATCAACTCACAGCTCTAACATAGTCATCAACTGAAAGTGTAACAGGAGTTGGAAGCCACTTCTGTCAGAGTGACAATTCACATCACAAACGCAGCCAGAGGTTTCTTGGCCCATCCAGCTCCCAAGGAGTAGAAAGGTGTGGGCACTGAGCCATCTGCTTTCATCATGCTAATACCTTAGGAGGAGGGTTGTGTGGGACACAGTAAGGTGTGTACTGCCCCTATCACGCTGTGCACAAGCAGGGAACGTCAGCGTCCAGCAATGACACTGGTACACTCCAAACTCCCATGAGCGCTTTTAGCAGGCTGGCCTAGAGGAACGGTCAAATTTACTATGCTGTTTAAGTCCTGTGGAGAAAGTGATAAATTGTTTGGACCAGTCCTGGTGAACAGACCAGACGCTGTAGAAGGGCTTTTGTTAAAAGAGATCATTCACTAAATACTAGAATGGAGAAAACCAGGGATATAAAGTGAACTTCAAATGACCTTTCCCAGATCATGTGGCCAAAAAAAAATTATTTACAGTTCTGATTTATACAGGAAAACTCTTTAACTAAACAGTTGCATGTCAAACATATTTCTATAGTTATTAAGACTTAGGTTATATGAACCCAGAAGTAATACAGGTATCTTCTATTTCCATTTTTCTTTAATGTTTTAGGCCATTAGAGGGAAAGGTGCCATATGCTCCGTAATTATTTGCCTCAATGTGCTTGACAAAATAAACAAAAATTAACAGGTATTTTAAGTTAAACTCATGTTTCTTTTGCCCTTAAATCCCCAAAGGGAAATCAAAAATCTGGCATGAATTTCAACCAGTGTTTAAAGTTCTGCTTTTCTGATATATCTGCAGGTTCATACTCCATCATGACTGCTATACCTCCTTCTCCAGTCTTATTTTCAGTATGAACAAGGGATGCCAAACGCAGCATTTATTCCTACAAAACTACAATACCAGCAAAAAAATCCCCAAGAAATCACTTTCTCCAAGTGCAAACATCGGTACTTACAGTTTTTCATAATTAGAGTTAAATAAGCTGTTCCACTGAGAAGTTTGATACGGTTGCCATGTTAGAGCTTGACAGCATTTTTCCAAAGCTGCATTCTGTCCATCACTGTCATATTCCTGCACTTCAGCAGCACAGTCCTTAACGGTTGCTGTAGAGAGATAGTGACAATTCTGTTATTACTTTTGTGACTAGCCAAAAATCCTGCATAAACATTTTTATAAATATATTTACATATATATACATACATATAAAGCATGAATATATTGCGTATGTATTTAAATCTGATTGTCCTTTGCAGTTATTGAAAAAAATGTGTTATATTCCCTTTTACCCTACAAAATAAAATTTTCAACTTTCCTGATTAGCAAAATATTACATAAGTAGCACTTCCTATTTTTATTCTCTTCCAAAGGATGGATAGTTTACTTTGGAGAAAAAAAGAAAAAAAAAAAAAAGGAAAGCTAAGCATTTTACTGTAAATCTGCAACACTGCAAGAAGCAATTAAGTAAAATAATTACATATGTTTCCCATTCTCTCTACTACAGGTTTAAACTGAATATACTCCAACTCATTGCAACAGGTCCTTTGTTCCAGAGCAGGAGGCACAGTTTTCCAATAGCAAGCACATTCACCGCTACATCTGATTGACTGGTTAATGCTTTCTGACTATACTTCATGGCATTCTGAGACAGACAGGGTCAACCATAATTCTCTGAGATATTATATATTTTATGAAGACAGAGGAGAATGTGGTAAGAGAGACAGATAAATGGAGTGCAGTAAGGACAGGAGAAAATATGTCATTGAGCATATAAGCTAAGATCCGTTCACAGCCAGTGGCAGCACAGTAAGACAGAGCCTACAGAATCATTTCAGGCTCAAGCTTCATTTCCAGCTTCCCACTTCTGACATACAGCAGAGTGAAAATATAAAAAAAACAACCAAACCACCACCCACAAAAACAAACCACCACAGTAACGAAATTCACACATTTCTAAATGATCCCCATGCCATTTTTACCAATGGTTGTGTTCTTTTTCCAATAGCACGTGTGTCAGTGAGATTTTATTAACAGTGACTCCCAAGGAAAGCATATTTCAAAGCTGTGTCTTTAAATATTAAAAGCAGCAATAGCAATTTTAGATACAGGAGCATCTGCTCATCTTCTCTTCCCAGCAGTGGTAGACTTAGAGGACTAGTCCCAATCAAGCAACATTGATAGAATAAAAGAGACCACAGGAAAAGTAACCTAGTGAATCCAGTTGCCACTTATTAAAAGTGTTCTAAAAGATTGATTTAATGCTTTAAAATCATTTACTCCGAAGAAGTAACAAGCAACTCTCAGATTTTCCATTAACAGACAAGGGTGAAATTCCTCAGATAAACTGTTCATTCAGAGAGAGCCTCACACTTCACAGAAGGTGATCCATTTCTGTACATGCCTGATAAGCTTTTTTGTATCAATTGGTATAAGCTTAGCATTTTTATCTTGATAAAACAATGAACCAAACTAAGTTGGGGAAGGGGTGGGGAAGAACACACAGCTTTTACCAAGCTTGTGCATGGATACACTTCATAGAAAAAATATGGAATTGAGATCATAAAGGGAAACTGCAATCTGTTTGCTCATCCACCACATTAATTCCCTGTTAAGCTGACCCACGGTGGTTTCTTTGCCCAGTCAATTTACTGCCAAGCAAAGTCAGCAGCGTATGGTATCATCTGTGTACTGCAGGCTCACGCATGCAGAAGGGCAGAGTATTTCATCCAGAGTCCTCAGGAAACATGAACCTCTAACACTTCTTATCTCTTCACCAAATATAAATAGGTGCTGGTTTTCAAAAACACTGAAAAGGTAAATTCCTCCAAACCTGATAGTGGGGTACAGACTGGTACCTTTTCAAAGCCAGCAGGAGCCGTGCTCTTAAAATATTTACTTAGCTATGGTATGAAACATTAGATTTCATTTTCACACAGTTGCTTACCTTGTCTGGAGTCCTGAGCCTTGACTGGAGAATCAGTGGCATCTCCCAGTAATTGTGAGAGCTTCCTTTTTTTGCCTGATGCTGCAGAAATACTTTTTTAAAAATACATGTTGCATTACTCATTTATAAGTATAAATACAGATATTACAGAATCAGAACAAGACAACACCCTGGTATCTTACTCTAACTGTACTGCCACCCAAACTGTGATTTGCAGGGCGGGGGGAGAGATTGTTGTTGGCTTTTTAAAACTGCATTATGCAATTTTTCCTTCCAAAACATAAATTAGTTTTTTATTATTATTATTTCATAGGACTAGAGAAGTTGATCTCTTTGAATATTTACACAGTGCATATGTGACATGGTTTTACTGTCTCCTGACATTTGCATTAAAATCACAGCTTTATCTTGAATAATTGTACTCCACCAAACATGAACTCACTTTCCTTCTTAATACAGAGAGCACTAGTAGCAGTTAAACTAATGCATTAACGAAGAGATCTCAAGGGGCAACTGGTGGGTTACAGTTTTCTCCTTTCCCACAAATTGAGATTTCAAAAAATACTCCTTTGTTCAAAGGGAAAAAACCTTATTCCAAAGTTTTGATATAAAATGTAAGCTAGAATATCCTGACAGATGGTCATTCCTTCTGGATGGGAAAAAAAAAAAAAAAAAACCAAACAAGCCAAACTCCAGGTCTCAGTCAGGCCCAGCAGGTACTCAAACTAAAGTTTCTCCACGAGCAGAAAAAAAGCCCAGCTATCACTTTGTTATTCTTTTTCTGGGTTTGTTCAGAAGTTCCACATTTGGTTAAGAAGTATTTTGTATCTTAAGTTCCAATAACTAAAGTATTCCCTCAAAAAATAACATGATTTTGACTATCTGGCACCTTTTACTGGAAAACAAATAAAGAACACAGCTTCACTGAGAAACCCAGGTGCAGCTTCCTTCCCCCACATCACATGTAACATGTAATTGAGCTCTGTACAGAAGAGGGGAAAGGAACAGAACATCTGCAAGCCCAGGACTAACACTGATGAACTCACATTTCTCTCCCCATAACCCTCTGGCATGCATCAGTCAATTCATTCTTACTAGGAATCACAGTTGGATGCTTGTACTACCCAATGTATTTTAAATAATTAAGCATCCACAACATGCTGGTGGGTGAATATGGCAGATGGTATATGAATACCATTTCACTTGCTTACATAGATATGGCAGGTTTGGGGTTTTTTTTCTCTCATGCCAATTGTCAGAACACTTAAAAGATGTTTATGGACAAAACCATGCAATTAGTATTGCAAAATGCCTGAATATTTTTATAATCCAGTTATGAAGCACCTATTGATCTCTCTTTAGCCTTCCACGTTTTAAAAGTTGAAATCCACTCCTACTTCCAATCTGAACTTCAATCAAGATGTTTAAAGAACCCTCAACCACAAGTATCTCAAACACGTCTAAACACTGCCATCCTGTGGATAACCTTAAACTCAAGGGGATTTTACACCACGTCTTCTACCAGCTCTATTTTTTTATATATCTGTCCCATCCTTTGCATAAAAGCTTTATCATTTACCCAGAAACCTGAGATGCATTTGGCTGAAAGTATGAATAATTAAAACCCAAACAGCTGGAGGACATAGAATTATTCCAAGGAGTCACAGCATTTTCTGTCTTCAGGCAGCAGCCTTGGGGGATGCTGCAGGGATGTCCACTGGCATTGGGGTCAGAGTAAGTCTCCGTGAACCTGCAGGGAAGCTTGCTGGGTGCCACAGCAGATGGGCATGGGAGCAGAGGCTGTGGCCCACTGGGCCATGTAGTATCATACCATGGGGCTGTAAGAAGTAAACAGACATGAAAGTAAGGAGAAAGAAAAGGAGCTGGAGACCTTTTTACAAGCTTGGGCAAGGATAAATTCATGTGACCTACTCTGCAGCTGTGGTGGAGAACATGGTTCTGATCCAGAGTCCGGTGGGGAGTCTGGCAACTGGCTTTGCCTAGGGATGAAAAAGAGATTTTACTTTTTACAGGGAGGAGACATGGAGGACAACCACAAAGCAATACTGAAAGCAGCTGGAGAGGGACCGCCAGGCTACTGACAAGGGTCTTCAGGAAGCATCGCTCACCACAGCTGCTGCCCTGTCTCACAGGAGCAACGTCACTTACACTTCATCAGACCATCTCCTATGGCCCTCCACCTCACCCCCATGTAGGGAGGCCCCATCCCTACCAGGTCTTGCCCAAACCCTGCTCCAGACTCACTGAGTTCAATCCTCCTGCCTTCCCATGAGCCGTTCGTCAATCCCTTCCGGGCACACCAGCAAGACTGAATACACGGAGCTCACAAGGGCTTTGAACCCACTCTCTCTAGGCTACAGGTTAAAGATCTGCAGCATCTTCATCCGCTAGCCTATTTCTTAAGATCTTAGTTTGGCCAAAGCACTCTTGGTCTCTATCAGGTGTTAGCAGGTCCCATGTTAGCACCTTGCTCACAAGAGGCAGCCCAAGCATGGAGGGAAGCGGGGGCTGCCACACACACGGGAAGCCTGTTTGTCCGGTCTGAAACGAGCTTTTACAAGCTCACCAAGAAGACCCAGAAGCCCGTGTTGGGGTTTCCACAGGTAACGAGCTACATTCCCTCTTTCCAGTCCAACACGGTCTTCCAATTCAGTTTGGAAGAACATAGTGGGGGACCAATAATTAGTATCTTCTATGCCTAAATCGCAAAAGAATTGAAAATAAAAAGTACTAACAGGTCCATCCCAACAGCCTCCTCAAAGAAAAGTTTCAAAAACAAACAAAAAAACCCCTCTCACTCCTCACGGAAGACAAGCTGACCGTTTATTTATAGCGCCTGAGTTTATCACCAGGAAGAATCTCGACACATTGCTGAAACTTAAATACAGACTAACTCGTAAGGGTGCGCCGGGCAGGATCCGGGCAGCGGTGGCCGCAGGCTG